TTCCAGTCACCAGTGATAATTAACACATCCTGATTGCATGTTTGGTCAATTTCAGACTGTAGAAGCTGATAAAATTCTTCAATTTCCTCCTCTTTGGCTTTGGTGGTTGGGGCATAAATTTGAGTAACAGTCATATTAATGGGTCTTCCTTGTAGGCGTATGGATATTATCCTATCACTCACAGCATTGTACTTCAGGACAGATCTTGAAACATCCTTTGTGATGATGCATGCCACGCCATTCCTCTTCAAACTGTCATTCCCGGCATACTAGATCACATGGTTGTCTGATTCAAAATGGCCAAAACCAGTCTATTTCAGCTCACTAACGCCAAGGATATCAATCTTTATGCATTCCATTTCATTTTTGACAACTTCCAATTTTCCTAGATCCATACTTCGTACATTCCATGTTCCAATGATTAACGGATGTTTGCAGCTGTTTCTCCTCAATTTGAGCGGTGCCACATTAGCAAATGGAGGTCTTGAAAGCTTTACCTTATCCATATGACTAAGGCTGGGTTTACTCAGATGATGCAGCTCTTTCCCAGTCCTATTTTGAGAGTCTTCTAACCTAACCGAACTACTCATAAAGTTGCGTGGTATTGTATAAAACAGTGTTTCTTTGCTATTCATAAGGTTTTCCCTGGCCAATTCTTTGAGATGTGGACGGCCTCTTCTTCTTCCTAGTCTGTCTCAGTCTGTAAGCCGGGCTGATACCTGTGCACCATGTGCATCCCGCTGAGTTTGAAACACCAGTGGCTCAGCCTCAAAACTCACATCAACACGTCGCCATGGTAGGACAAACCGAAAGACAAGATTGTCTCCCTACTCAAACTACTACTCACATTCAATTAGCAATGTGGGAAAGATCTAGAATACTGACCAGATCTAAAACTAATAGTTAGCAAAGAACAGTAGAACAGGCAAAATCCTACTTCTTAACCCCATCCCAAATGAAAAGACCCAGTCACCAGTCCAACATGAGTCATCCTGTCAAGCTGATGACACCAGCTATGCTGACACAATCCTCACTGGCTTTTTATGAGTAGTATATCACACTGCTAACATATATTAGACCTAATGTCAACTAGATACCTTAAGGGGGTCATTGTACATAGACGGTTGTTCAATCAACCCTTACTGATTGACTAATTGAAAACATCACCACTGCAATCAATGCCTAGCATATTGGAAGCGTCCAATTAACGTCTATTGAACCATACACAATTATGTGGGAAGAAACAAGAGTCAAAGACTTACTTAGTTTCCCATTCACGCCCAACAAGATTGATGACCACGTTGCTGTGCTCCACTGCTCTTCGGATGGAATCTTTGTCTCTTCCATTCCATTCCTATAACACCAGTAGCCAATCAGATGAAAATATAAGGGGTGTACCCTAAACTTAACACTAATGTAGTCCTCCTAGGCAAGCTTCAAAATGAACCATCTATGTAGTCAAAATATCGTGCCATTTCATATGGGCTCCATTTATAACAACAGAAATGATTCTGAGGTCTCAAATTCCCTTCTGATCCTGACTCTTCTGGAGACAGACAAGTCAGAGCACATTTTACTCAGGTAATCAAATGACAGAATTAGTAAAGAGGCTGTTCGTGTTTAATGGAGCACATCAAATGCTAAGGGTAGGAGAGGAAGAATCCAAGATGCCTCAGAGTGAAAGAGCTAACAGTATAACTGTATGAATGGCCCTAGAGCAGTGCCTGAAGAAAAGAAATCAAATATAAACCAAATTCCCAGGCATGAGGCCCAGAGGGTGCAGCCAGGTTAGTAAACCAAATGGCTGTTTAGCTGCAGCTTCAAACAGATATTAAAGAGAAGAAAGAACACCCAAGACCTGAAAGGTCCTTCCTTCTCAAAAATAAACAACGATATAATGAAGCTCTCCTGTTATATCCCTCCTGTACTTCCCTTTCCTAATAATTATCATAAACAGTTTATGCATCTATTGTTTGTATTCCCTATTAAGACTGTAATGTCTCCAAAGTCTTATTCATCAAGATATCCTGAGCTTAGCTCTGGTAGCATAGTGCCTAAGGCACTTGACTGCTAACCAGAAGGCTGGCGGTTCAAATCCACCAGCCACTCCTCGGAAGGAAGACTGGGCAATCTACTTCTGTAGTGATACTGCCTCGGCAACCCAAGGAGGGGTCGCTATGAGTCGGGGCTGACTCGATGGCACATAACAATAACAACAACAGTGCAATACTAGGTCCATAGCAGACACTCAATAAACACCTGCAGAAAAATGGAATAAATGTTATATATCTCAATTTCAATAATTCCACGTTAGCATGCTACAAAATTTTCACCTATCACTTGTGAAAATACTTTAATTATGAGGAGCTGAGAGGTGACCAATGTTCTTAAGTCACAAAGAACTAGGAAAAAGCTAAGCTCCTACAACTGTTAATACCAAAAAGGTACTTCGAGATTTTGGAAGACAAATACATTTTAGAAACAAGAAATTTCCAACATAAGTATGCTTTGCTTTTGAACATTCAGTAAAGAATAAATGAAAATATCATTAAAAATTTGTCAGAATTTTAAAGGATTTCAAATAATCTGTACAAAAATAGTATCAGAGATGTTATGGTGTTTACCAAACACTTTTTTCTTTTTAGGAGTGCAGTGAGGTAGGTTGAACCTTAGCCAGGATCTTTCTTTTTCTCCCTAACATTTTATTTTTATTTCTTTAACCCTCTAGTTAGTGGTGTAGTGCCTAAGGCATTTGACTGCTAACCAGAAGGCTGGTGGTTCAAACCCACCAGCCACTCCTCGGAAGGAAGGTTGGGCAATCTTCTTCCATAATGATACTGCCTCAGAAACCCAAGGAGGGGTCGCTATGAGTTGGATCTGATTCCACAGCAGTGAGTTTGGTTTTTTTTGAGTTAGTGGTTTACGCTGTCTTCCCCACCCACCCCTAGCAATCATCAAGGAATATTTCATTTTTTACGAAACCCTTAACTTTTTATAATAGGGATCTCATACAATACCTGTCCTTCTGTGATTAATTAATTTCACTCAGCATAATGGCCTCTAAGTTCATCCATATTATGAGATGTTTCACAGATTTATCACTGTTCCTTAACATTGCGTAGTATTCCACTGCATGTACCAGTTTGTTGATCCATTCTTCCACTGAGGAGCATTTTGTTTCCTTCTTTTTGCTATTGTGAACAGTTGCAATGAACATGAGTGTGCACATACTTGTTTGTGTCATGGCTCTTATTTCTCTAGGATATACACCTAGTAGTGGGACTGCTGAATCACATGGTGTTTCTATTTCCAGCTTTTGAAGGAAGTGCCATATCATTTTCCTCAGTGGTTGCACCATTTTACAGTCCCAACAGTGTATGAGAGTTACAGTCTCTCCACACCTCTCACTATTACTTGATGTTTTCTGATTTTTTGACTTTGCTATTAGTGCTGGCATGAGAGATGTATCGTTGTTTTGATTTGCATCTCTTTAATAGCTAACCTGGGAGCTCTGGTATAGTGCCTAAGTCATCTGACTACTAACCAGAAGGCTAGTGGTTCAAACCCACCAGCCACTCCTCAGAGGAAGGTTGGGCAATCTACTTCCATAGTGATATGGCCTCAGAAACCCAAGGAGAAGTCGCTATGAGTCGGATCCGACTCAACAGCAGTGAGCGAGTGAATAGCTAATGATCATGGGCATTTTTTCATGTGTTTGTTAGCTGCCTGAATGTCTTCTTTGGTGAAGTGTCTGTTCATGCCCTTTGCCTTTTTTTAAATTGGATTATTTGTCTTTTTTATTGTTACAGTATTGAAGTTCCCTATAAATTTCAGAGATTTTCTCCTTATCCAATATGTCATTGCCAAAAGCTTTTTCCCAGTCTGTAGGTTCTTTTCATTCTTTTGGTGAAATCTTTTGATGTGCTTAAGGTCTACATTTTAGGATATCCCACTCATCTATTTTGTCTTCTGGTGTTTGCACTTTTTTTGTTATATTCAACAGTATATTTATGCCCTGAATTAGGACCTCTAACTATGTTATTTTTGCTTTGTAGGTCTGTATGATTTTAGATTTACCCAAACATTTTTTATAAGGGGAAAATTTCACAATAGAAACTTTCAGTTTCAGTTCTAAAAGGAGTTGTCTAAAAAGAATTGACCCAAGCATCAAGGTCTAGAGCAGCGTTTCTGAACAGGATCATTGCAGCCATTTTAGACAGTGCACGACTCCTTGGGAAAAGGGACTATCCGGTGCACTACAGGACAATCAGCATCCCTGGCCCTTGTCTAATAAACCAGTGTGGCTTTCTAGTCAGTGTGGTATCCAAAAAGGTCTCTGTCCATTTGTACCGACTCCCTTTAAGGAGTCCTGTCTACCCCTCCTGACCTCCACCTCATCCTTTCTTACCTGCTTCGTTGGGAACTACTGGTCTAAAGAAAGAGCCTGCAGATCAAAGAATGATGACAAGGAACGCTCAGAAAGGACTCCTTTAAATTAAGTCTCTGCCGAGCAAATTAATCATAAAACACCCTAACTGTGATTTTCCACCTACAGCATAACTGTCAAATGTAACATGAAGCACATACTTGATTCTGAATCTTCTAGTAGTCATATTAAAAAGTGTAAAGAGAAACAGGTGAAATTCATCTTAATAATATACTTTAATTCAACACACTCAAAATATTATTTTCAACATATAATAAATGTAAAATATTACTACTGACATAGTGTACACTATTTTCTTTGTATTAAATCTTTTGAAATCTAGTCTGTATTTTACACTTAAAACACAATTCAGACTAGCCATATCTCAAGTGCTCAATAGCCATAAGTGGCTAATGGCTACCATATTCGACAGCACAGGCCTCTGGCCTGGGTTGGCAAACTATGGCTCACAGGTCAAATCCAGCCAAAAGCCTAACTTTGTAAATAAAGTTCTAACGGAACATAGCCATCCTGATTAATTTATGTACTGTGCATGGCTTTCAGGCAGAAACAGCAGAGCTGAGTAATTATGACAAAGACCCTACAACCCACAAAGCATAAATCTGGCTCTATCCAAAAAAAGGTTGCTGACCACTGGTCTAGAGTTTGCATGCCAACATACAGAATACAGAAACCTAGAGGAAGGAATGCCTTTTGTGTTGAGATGTCCTTGGTCCATTTTGGAATGAAAGTGCTGCTTTATTACACTGCTTTGCTCTCCTAAAAACAACTTTAATAATTTACATTCTTCAACTCCAAAAGCTAGTCATAAAAGTTCTTACCAGAAAAATAATCTGGCCCAGATCACCCATGGGACGAAGATGCATAGTGTCATATGGATCACACCGATAGGGTATGATCACCTGTGACCCCATACGTCCTAAAAAAGATCAAAATAAGGATCAATAACAGAATAACATATGGATATATTATCAGACAATGACTTAGTAAATATTTAAATTCTAATGTGATGTGAATTGATACTACATTTGACAGAAAAAAAAGAAAAAACTTATTTTGCCATGATAAAGTTGCCAGAGGAGTCCTGGTGACACAGTAGTTAAGCACTTGGCTCCTAACCAAGAGGTCAGTGGTTTGAATCCACCAGCCATTCTGTGGAAGAAAGATGTGGCAGTCTGCTTCCATAAAGATCTTATAGCCTCTAAACTGTATGAGGCAATTCTACTCTGTCCTACAAACTCCCAATGAGTAGGAATCAACTTGGTGGCAACAGGTTTGGATTAGGTTTTTTAAAGATGCTATAATGTGGCATAGTGCCTAAAGCACTTGACTGTTAACCAGAAGGCTGGCGGTTCAAACCCACCAGCTACTCCTCGGAAGGAAGGCTGGGCAATCTACTTCCATAGAGATACTGCCTCGGAAACCCAAGGAGGGGTCGCTGTGAGTTGGAGACGACACGACAGCACATAACAACAACAACATAACTTTTCAGAGTTCTCTATTCCCACCTTAACATCCTAAGATGAAACCTGTGAGAGCCAGAACTCAACAGGACTGCTTTGTTTTCCCAAGTCTCACAAGCTTTCCACCTTTGACAGGGTGCAGTCTTACCACTTTTCTATCACTTGTTTTAGTGGAAAACATTTGAGTTTTCCTTCTCTTGAGTTCCAGCTTTAGGAGGTTTTACTGTATATTATTGGGAAGTACAGGCATGTTATGCTCTTAATGCCACCAAAAAAAACCCAAACTCACTGCTGTCAAGTCAGATCCAACACACAGTGATCCTTCCTTGGGTTTCCAAGGTGGGATCACTACAGAAGTAGATTGCCCAACCTTCCTTCTGAGGAGTGGCTGTTGGATTTGAACCACCAGCCTTCTGTTTAGCAGTCAAATGCCTGCACTATGCCATCAGAGCTCCTCTTAATCACACGTAGATAAAAATTACATAAATTCAGGATAAAAAAAAAAAAACCGCACTGCCGTGGAGTCAGATCTGACTCATAGTGACTCCTCCTTGGGTTTCCGAGGCAGTATCACTATGGAAGTAGATTGCTCAACCTTCCTTCTGAGAAGTGGCTAGTGGGTATGAACTGCCAGTCTTCTGGTTACCAGTCAAATGCCTACTTGTTGTTGTTATGTGCCATCTAGGCAGTAGTAATTCATAACACTGTTAAAATGAAAAGAAACTTAACTCATGCCTCTCATCAGGCAGCCAGAATAAATGGCGGTGTAATATAGAGTTCAAAGACCTTTACTTACCAAGGTGGTTGACAACATATCGGCCCAGGAATCCTGTTGCTCCAAACACAGTGGCCACAATTCCACTGACTGAGGAACGTCCACCTTTCCCATGAGGCATGAGCGCATGATGAAGGTGGCGCTGGGTTGGGACATGACACACGGATGTGGCTATTGCAGTAATGCCAGAACCTTAAACAAAACAGCAGAGATGGAGACGTTCCAGTAAGATGGTGGAATAGGCAGAAAGACTGCACAGACCCTCTTCAACAAAGAAACAGGGAACAAATTAACACAAATACAGAAGATAACCCTGGACTCCTGAGCCTTGAAGGGAAGGATATAGAAGTGGGCTAAACTCCAACTTGCAAAAGAATTTGCATGAAAATGCCAAAAAAGGAGACATACAGAGTTGTGGTCTGGCAGTGATCCTGACGGCACAGACAGCTTGGATATTGCTGAGTGGAGGTAGGACCTAAGAAAACCTAAAAAATCAGCCCTGCTAGCCAGGGACTGCATGGAGGACTGCTCTGGTAGCTGGTGAATAAAAAGAGGAAGCAGCAAAGAGGAAGGCAGGCTGAGATGTGGACTTTTGCCTGTCTGGAGGCGCAGCCATTTTGAATGTTTACAAGCAGCTTCACCATTTTGGGTATTTAAAGAGACAGTGTTCTCCCAAAGTCCAGGGACTTAAGAACAAGCTGCACTTGCTGGGAACTGCAAGGACATCCCGAACATAGATGACTGGAAAGATGTGAAATTCCCATTACTCGTATATCCCACGCCCTCTTGGTGAACAGAAGTGCAGCCATCCCTCACTCCCACCCACCTTCTGGGCTGGCAGGAATACCATCCCAGTCTGTGTGCTCAGACAGAGCCTGGGTGCCATGCCCTGCCCTGATTTTTTTTTTCTTTTTTCTGTTTTCTAGTTTGTTTTTGTCTGTTTTAAAACTATTATTATCATTATTAGGAGCTCTGGTAGCACAGTGCCTAAGGCACTTGACTGCTAACCAGAAGGCTGGCGGTTCAAACCCACCAGCCACTCCTCGGAA